CCTGGAAGCAGGCTGGCTGGTGCACGTGCCCGGCGGGCTCCGGTGCGAGGACTATGTCACCTTTCTGTCCTTGGCCAGCAATGGCCCTCTGTCTCTCCAACTTTTACAGTAGGGCCTGGACCCGTGCCTTCTGTGCCAGAGATGAGGGCGTGTTTGAGCAAACTTCTTATTGACGAGAGGGTTGGCAAACGAGGAGGAGGCATTGGGCACAGTGAGTGTTACATTATTGAAGTAATTAGGAGACTGGATGAGTTTACTTTTTAAAATTGTACTAAGTACTGTCTTCTTGGCACTGAATTCCTAAGTTAAAACCTCATTAGCAGTCCCCTGCATTTATTTATATTGACCTGGAAATCTCGCAATAGTAAAATTATGTATTTTAGGACACGATTGTTTATATCCAGGTGTTTTTTATTTACTGTATGGGGGTCAGGTTCAGTTACAGTATATTCAGGGAGTATGTATAGTTAAGGAAGTAAATACTTGTAAACTTGTAAGTTATTTTGAGTGGTTTTGTGAGGGTGTTTTATTTGTACACAATTGCTAAAAGTACTGTTTTTAAACTTTGAGCTTTTTGATCGTAGACAAATGTCTTGACCCCTTTTAAATTCAGTTACGATTAAATAGCATTTTAAAATGTGTCACTAGGGCCCTAGCTGGTTTGGCTCAGTGAATAGAGCATCGGCCTGGGGACTTCAGGGTCCCAGGTTCGATTCCGGTCAAGGGCATGCACCTTGGTTGCAGGCACATCCCCAGTGGGGAGTGTGCAGGAGGCAGCTGATCGATGTTTCTAACTCTCTATCCCTCTCCATTCCTCTCTGTAAAAAATCAATAAAATATATTTTAAAAAATGTGTCACTAGGGTACAGACAGTGATAGTTTATGTGGGAAATGAACCCTTTTTGGATAGTTACTTTGCAGTCACAGCTAAAGGGTATTTTCCTCTTCACAAAATTGAAGCTCTGTTGAATTTGAGAGACTCGGGAATTTTGCAAGTGTCATAAAGAGAAAGTTTGTAAATCACTTAGTTCAGACTTAATAGAAAGAAATAAAGACCAATGTTTCAAACTGTAGGTTCCAGTTATTTGAGTCATTAAATCAAATTAGTGGGTGATGATCAGAATTTTTAAAAATAGAAAATACTTGTTGATTCAGCTGTAGACGTGTATTTTTGCAAAATATCTTTTTCTGACAGTGTCAAAAAAAAGTCTGAAAAACTTCTTCTAAAGGGTATTTTTCTCCATAGAACTGGTCTTCAAGGAGTATTAATAGCAGTTCTGTTTGTTTCTATTTGGTAGAGTATTTTCCCCTCAGGAATGGGGAAAATTTGCCATCAATGACCAGCATAGCATGCTTTTGTAATCACTTAATATTTTAATAGTCTGAGAAGCTTTTATTTAGATAGTAAAGGATGTTCTCCACTCCAGAATGCCAATGATTACTTTCCGTGGCTAGATGAGAATTGAAGAATCCGGATCCCCAGTTCTAGTAATGTTGTCAGCACTGCCTCATGTGACCTGACTGGGGTAAAGGAGGCCTAGTCAACTGCATGCTTTGCCTGTGTGGGTGTTCTGATTAAGAGTGGACTTCATTAAATAACCAGATAAATGAGAACCACCACTTTTTTTTAATACTAAGTCTTTGAAATCTAGAGTGTATTTGGCAATTCAGCACATCTCACTTTGGGCTAGTTGCATTTCCAAGTGCTCAATAGTTAACAGGGCTAATGGCTACTGAACAGACTTGGAATTCTCTTCAAAAATTAACTTTTTCCAGATGAGTATGTGTAGTTTCATATTAGTCAAAAATGTTCCCTCCACAACCTCTTTTCGAATATGAGGAAATTGCATCAGGTAATTTTTTAAGGCTTTTTTCTAGGTCTAAATCTAAATAGTATTTTAAGTCAGAAGACAGCTATACTTTTAAGGGTTACTTTGCTTTTCTAGGAATATTTTGAGATTTAGAGGATCTGTTTTAAAATGGCAGATATTATGAATTTGATTTGGGAGTATTTTGTTCTATTGGTCATCTTCTCTTGCTTTGTGACAGTGTTAGGAAGCTACTCTTGTGAGCTTTCCCTACCCCGTTTTATTTGGTCAATTATGTGATTGCTTAATGTATAGGAAAGAACATTTTTCTTAGTGAATTCAATCTTGTACAGTGTAAACTATTAATTATCTGCTAAGGATATAGTTAACTATAGTGAACTGTGGAATCTAGATGTGATAACTAGAAACCACATTTTTTTCTTTTGCTTTTGGGTATGTGTAGATAATACAGGGATTTTTCAACCTGGGGACATATTGGTATAATGAAAGATAGGAAGGTAGAAGATTTTAAAGGTTTAAGAAATAATGGCATATAAATAAGGACCATTAAGCAGAACAAGTCAGCCAAGTGGAATTGCCAATAGGAAAATTAAAGACTGCCTTGAAAAGGGGCTCCAGAACCTGAGGCGGTGGGCTGAAACGCCAGCCCGCCTCCAGCTGGGCAACCTGCGGGGCGGGCCTTATTTTAGTCACCTTATTTTAAAAATTCAGGATTTAGATAATTTAGATAATTTCATCTAATCAAGAGCATCTTATGTACCTGCTCTGAGACTTAAGAGTAAATGAAAGGAAATGGTCCTTTTGGCAAGGATGGCCTAGTATTTGGCTGTTTAAAATTTTGGTGCAATGTTTGTGTAGGATATAAAACGGGGATCTTACATTAGAATTAGGTTAACTTTAGTTACATCTAAAAACATCTTGTCAATTTTAGGAGCGATCCATTGCTAAAAATACTGCAGATGCTCTGTCCAGTGAATCAAAATACTATTGGAGAGTTTGATGAATAGTAATGTTGTAATATTCAGCCAGCTTCATCAGATAATTGCATTAATATTGAACCTGAGTATTTGAGAGTGAAGTAAATCTCGAGTAAGTAGCCAGTATTCTAATTTTGATTTGTATTGATAATCAGCAAGTCAAACTGAATGATGATTCTGAAGGAAATAGTTCTTGTTACTTGTATGGAAGTTTAGCAAAAATGAAATTTATACAATCATAAGATGGCACGTGAATAAAGGCTTTTAAAAATAAAGCTTTCTGAGCTACTTTGTTTATAAGAGTATGTAAATTAATGTAAAGCAAGCATGTCAGACTCAGAGGCTAACACGGGCCAAATAAGGTTTAAGTTTATGTGGGCGGCAAAAAAAAACACACAAAAGCTTAAATTTTCATAGAAACATAGGTTTATTTTGATAGAGACATGCTGAATACAGAGGGTTGAAATAAATGAGTAATCGTTAACATAAAATAATGGAACATTTTAATAAAAATATTTTTTTCTTGAACATTAACTTATCAGACACTGAATAACTGCACAAATTAATAAGCGTAATGCAAATAAACCTATTTTTCTTGTTCTCCGAAAGCAAAATATTTCCTGTTGCTCACACCAAACAAGTCAGTCCAAGACGAATTACGTGGCAATCGGCTGCTAAAATATTCGCTGCTAGTATTAGTGGAGAGAAATGGTGCGCCTGCGCATACGGAAATGAATGCAATATGATTATAGTAATCAGTAGTTATTAGCTAATGTAGTTTGTTATTAATAATTATGTATAACAGGATATTGTAAAAATTAAGTTACAAAATTTTTATTTAAATGTTTCTACATACTGTTATATTGGCTGGGCTGCAAAAATATTCGTTGTGGGTCGCGAGTTTGACATGCTTGATGTAAAGGGTAGGCAGCTCAGACTTCTGGAAGGACATTTTAGCTCAGAAGCTTAAGCTTTTAATAGGTATTCAGTATTTGCAAAGTAGAGTATGCCTGCTTCTGGACTAAGTGAATTTAGCATGTTTTAAGAATTTAGAATCTAGTTTGCTTAAAATGCCACCTTTGGTGCTTGCTTTGGCAGCACATGTACTAAAATTGGATACAGAGAAGATTAGCATGGCCCCTGTGCAAGTATGGCACAAATTCAAGAAGCATCCCATAAAAAAACAGAAACAAAAAAACAAACCACCTTTGATAAATGCAAATTTTACTTTATCAGTATGTAGCCTTCAGAATGTGTTTTTAGTAGGATCATGCCAATTAACCTTCTTTTGGTCAAGACTTCTTTGCAAATGTGATAAAAGCTATGGATTCTTGTAGAAAACCTGTACTGTATAAACAGTTTTGGGGGCATACTGAGGCCCGTTTTGGATGTACATTAACCCTAACTTTAAAGTGTTGACTATTCAAGTATGTTAAACATTATGATATATCATACACTTCATTTACTAAAATATAGGTGATTTTAAAATGTGAATATTGCCCTGGCTGGTGTGGCTCCGTTGGAGCATTGTCCTGTGTAGTACATCAAAAGGTTGCAGGTTTCACTCCCAGTCAGGCCATATACCCAAGTTGCATGTTCAATCCCCAGTTGGGGTGCTTACAGGAGGCTATTGATCTAAGTTTCTCTCTCACATTGATGTTTCTCTCTCTGTCTCTCTCTCTCTCTCTCTCTCTCTCTCCCTCTCTCTCCCTCCCTCCCTCCCTCCCTTCCTCTCTAAAATAAAAATTTGAAAAAATGTGAATGTTATGAGTAAGTTAGTTATGGAACCTTTACTTGATACAGGTACTGACAACAAGTTTATTCATAATTTGTAAGTAGATTTCATTCTTCAAAGCACTTCTTTTTTGTTGATTTCTCTCCCCCTTTTAAATTAAAGAATTTTATCAATTAGTTATCATTCAGTATTATTTTATACTAGAAGCCCAATGCACGAAATTCGTGCAAGGGCCTTGCCACGGCTGCTGCCTCGGCCCCTCACAGCCCTGGCTTCGACCGGAAGGTCGTCTGGAAGGTCGTTCGGCTGTCTGGTCTAATTAGCATATTATGCTTTTATTATTATAGAAGGTTAGTTTCAGATGTACAACATAGTGATTAGAAATTTATATAATTAAAGAAATGACCTCTCCCCATAAGTCTTAGTACCCATCTGACACCATACAGTTATTATTGCAGTATTACTACTAACTGGGGATCAAGCCCACAACACAGGCATGTGCCCTGACCCAGGAATCTGAACTATGACCTCCTGGTTACCACTGAGCCACACCAGCTGGGCAAAAAGATAAGTATTTTTGACGGTCTCAAATATATCTGAGAAGGTAAAATTGTCTGAAAGACAGTTTCTCAAACTGATTTAATTTATTAAGAAGAATAGTTAACCATTTGTTGAATACTTCTGGATTATTAAGGTGCTTTGAATGTGTTCCCAATCCCCAAAGCAACCCCATGAGGTGTGGCTGCTATAGTTTCCCATTTGGAGATGAGAGAACTAATTCAGTAACTTGCACAAGAAAGCAGCCACTAAGTAGCTGCTTGACCCCAACGCTATTACCCTTTGCTCCTTTCCTGTATTGCTCTGTTGGACTGAAATCTGTTTCTTATATGTTTTGTCCAAGTTGAATTATGATTTTTAATCAATCAAATTATATATATATATATATGGAGAGAGAGAGAGAGAGAGAGAGAGAGAGAGAGACCCCACTTATTTATGCATTCATTCATTGGTTGATTCTTGTATGTGCCCTGAGCGGGGATTCAGCCACAACCTTGGCGTATTGGTAAGACGCTCCAATCAACTGAGATACCCAGCCAGGGACAATCTAATTTTTAATGGGGAGGAGCAAGCTACGGATTGAGGTACTGTGTGAATAAGGAAAGAAAATGGCTATAAAAGTATGTTACTTTTTAAAAAAGAATTATCTGAAAGGCAAAATTCAGATGGGTTTGGCTTAATAGCATGTCTAAGAATGATGTTTGCAGCTACAGGATATCAACCAAGGTACATGCCCTTGACCGGAATCGAACCTGGGACCCTTCAGTCCGCAGGCCGACGCTCTATCCACTGAGCCAAACCGGTTTGGCAAGTATGTTACTTTTTAAAAAAGAATTATCTGAAAGGCAAAATTCAGATGGGTTTGGCTTAATAGCATGTTGTCTAAGAATGTTTGCAGCTACAGGATATTGAGCATCCACCCACTAGTAATTGGCATTGTACTTGGTGCTTTTTGTGTTTTATTTCCTCTTAACAGCCCTCTAAGATTTTATATATATATATATATTAACAAAGCCCCAGAGATGATCTGTCTGAAGACATGGTAAATAAGCCAGGCTTCAAGCAGCTCTCTGATTCTGCAGTACACTTTATAGAGGAGAAAATATCTCAAGAACAGAAAATGCACTAGCTAATTACCCAACTCCTTTCTCTTTCCCAGTAGCCAAGAAATATATGGGTGTGATCAGTGTACATGTTAGGGTTTTTACTTTATTTTATTTCTTAATGAGTATTTCCATGGATCCTGATAATCCATAATCGCAGTATCAGGGTTGTGTTTTGTGGTTCTTAAAGCTTGCTTAATTAACAGTGCCTCCTCTCAGCTGTTAGATATTAGTTTCAAAAATTTGCTCTAATCAATTGTTTTCTTAAAAACTGCAGGCTTGAGAACCATCAGTGGATCACAAAATCAATTTATTGTATATAATAAAAGTAAGGATTAGTTGATGATTTTTGAACAGAATTAATGTTTTATTGTATTAGTATATATTTATAGACATGTACTATTTAGAAATAGAAAAGACTTTTCTTGCTGTGGATTGTGGAAAGGTAGAAACCACTGCTCTAATGAATAGTGATGCTATATAATATCTTCCTCTTGCTCCTCACCCATCAACACCCAACTTTTGTATATATTTCTCCCAAATGGAAGATCATTTTAATAGCCCTTGGTAGGTAAATTGCCAGATTGCTTACTACTAACATGGTACCTATTTATATTGCTGGGTCAAGAAAAATAGTATAAAGTAAAGCATGTCACACTTGCCAAGATTGAAAAATGACTCTCTCTTAGATTCTACATTTAATTTTAGATACCTACATTTGCTGAGGATTCAAACATTTTAAAAGAAAATTGGTCAGGGTTGAGAGCTAGGATAGGGGTACCAGCTGGTTTTACCACGGCTGAAAGAACCGTGTTGGTTTAGAATACAACCCATATACTAGAATTAGAAAGGCTTGATTTTTTTTTTTAGGGACAATCGTCTACATGTTCTTACCTTGAGTCATCTGGTCTTATAGAATAGAAATTGGCTCAAGTATTATAAGTTTGGAGATCCAATGATATCTCCTATAATTTGGGCAACTTATTAAACTTCTTGGCACCAGTTTCTACGCATGTAAAATAGAGATGATGACTATTAAATAAGATGGCACACATGAAAGACTTGATGTGGGCTCTTTTGTATGTTGGGTGCCTTTTAAGTCTTTCCCCTTATTCTTACAGATTATTTAGTTTAGAGTATTTATGTTTCAGCTAGGAAAGCTGAGGGGCTTAGAAAGGCTAAATTACAGTGATTTGAACCTTTGTTTTTGTTGACTCCAAATGAGGATTGTTGCTATGAACATTCCTGAATAAATTTTATGTTTAATTCTCTTGGGAGTATGACTATGAGTGGAATTTCTTGGTCATGTGGTAAAACTATTTGACTTTTTTTTGAACTCTAAAACACCAGCACCATTTTACATTTCTGCCAGCAGGATATGAGGGATCTGTTTTCACCACATACTTGCCGATACTTAACTTGCCTTTTGCCTATGTTTTTAATTGTAGCCATACTAGTGGGTCTGGAAGTGGTATCCCATTGTGGTTTGGTTTTTGTTTCTCTGATGACTAATAAATGATGTTGAGTGTCATATTTACTCAATGGCCATTTGTGCTTGTGAGCAATATTTTTAAAGAAATGTCTATTCAGATCCTTTGCCCTTCTTGTAAAATAGGTTATTTGTCATAAGTTACTCTTGTATATGGTGTGAGGTAGTGTTCCAAATTCATTCTTTTGCATGTGGATATCCAGTTGTCCAGCACTATTTGTTGAAAAAACTTCTTTTCCCCATTGAATTGTCTTGGCACCTTTGTTGAAAATCAATTAACCCAAAGTATGGAGTTTATTTCTGGACTTTGAATTTTGTTGCATTGAACTGAAAGCCATGAGTGTTCTTTTTAAAAAATATATTTTATTGATTTTTTTACGGAGAGGAAGGGAGTGGGATAGAGAGTTAGAAACATCAGTGAGAGAGAAACGTCGATCAGCTGCCTCCTGCACACCCCCTACTGGGGATGTGCCCGCAACCAAGGTACATGCCCTTGACCTGAATCAAATCTGGGACCCTTCAGTCCGCAGGCCGACGCTCCATCCACTGAGCCAAACCAGTCAGGGCCATGAGTGTTCTTGATTGCAGGTTTTAGTTACTAAGTTACTACTTAGTAACTCTTTGATAATAAATTTAGTGCATACCTTATAAAGTAAGTAATCTTTATAGTAGTCAATTCTTAAATATAAAGTCTATAAATTGAAGACTAATGTGGTTTAGATTAATTTGGGTATTACGATTTTTATTACAGAACCAAACTGATCATATTGCTTTAGTTCAGAGATTATTGTACCAAGGTATTAAATATCTTGGTCCCTAACTTTGATCCTCAAAGCACCCTTGGTGGCATGGAAAACATGAGTTAGGCTAGTTTAAAAATTAGGATCTCGCTTGGCCATTGTGGCTCAGTGGTTGAGCATCCACCCATAAACCAGGAGATCGTGGTTTGATTCCTGGTCGGGGCACATGCCCTAGTTGCAGGTTCAATCCCCAATAGGGGGTGTGCAAGAGGCAGCAGATCAGTGATTCATCATTGATGTTTCTATCTCTCCCTTTCCCTTCCTCTCTCTGAAATCAATAAAAACATTTAAAAAGAAGTTAATGCCCTAGCCGGTTTGGCTCAGTGAATAGAGCATCAGCCTGTGGACCAAAGGGTCCTGGGTTCAATTTTGGT